CCTACGTACTACTACACTTCAACTACTACGACTTACTTACTACTACTACGGACTACTCTTACTACTAGACTACGAATACGACTACGACCTAGACTACGACTACTTACTACTACTATTTTTTAATACACTACTACTATACTACTTACTATACTAACTACTACTACGACTACTTTACTTTCGGGGTAACGCTGACCGGTGTATTTTTTAACTGCTTACTACGACTTACTACTACTACTACTACTACTACTACTACTATACTACTACTACTACTACTACACTTTACTACTTATATACTACTACTACTACTAATACTACTACTACTACTACTACTACTACTATACTACCACTACTACTATACTACTATTACTACTACTACTACTTACACTACTACTACTACTACTACCCACTACTACTACTACACTACTACTACAACTACTACTACTACTACTACTACTAACTACTTACTACTACTTACTACTACTTTCTCTACTTACTACAACTACTACTACTACTACTACTACTACTACTACTACTACTACTACTACTACTACTACTACTACTACTACTACTACTACTACTACTACTACTACTACTACTACTACTACTACTACTACTACTACTACTACTTACTATTACTACTACTACTACTACTACTACTACTACTACTACTACTACTACTACTACTACTACTACTACTACTACTACTACTACTACTGCTGCTGCTGCTACTGCTACAGCTACGACGATGAGGAAAAGGAGGACGGCGTCTACCGCTCCTACTAATGCTGCTTTCCTAGAGGCTCCAACTCCTAGGTAGGGTTGCGCTGGGATAATTTTGCTTAACCCTTCAACGCTTGGGCTGCGGCCGCTGCCCCGTCGACGTGGCCAATTTGGGGAGACCCGTTTGGTTTGGGAAAACCCGGATAGTTGGTTTGGGAAGACCCGGTTGGTTTGGGAAGACCCGGAGAATTGGTTTGGGAAGACCCGGTTGGTCTGGGACGACCCGGAGGTTGGTTTGGGAAGACCCGGTTGGTTTGAGAAGACCCGTTTGGTTTGGGAAGGCCCGGGGAGTTGGTTTGGGAAGACCCGGTTGGTTTGGGAAGACCCGGAGGTTGGTTTGGGAAGACCCCGTTGGTTTGGGAAAACGCGCTTGGTTTGGGAAGACCTGGGGAGTTGGTTTGGGAAAGCCCGGCTGTATCGGGAAGACCCGGATGTTGGTTTGGGAGGACCCGGTTGGTTTGGGAAGGCCCGGAGAGTTGGTTTGGGAAGACCCGGTTGGTTTGGGAAGACCCGGGGGCGTTGGTTTGGGAAGACCCGTTTGGTTTGGGAAGACCTGGGCTTGGTTTGGGAAGACCCGGCGGTCTGATTCCGCAACATTTGGTTTGGGAAAACCCGTTTGGTTTGGGAAAACCCTGGCCCCTGGTCACCCCCTCTTACCAAACGCCCGATTCCCAGGGACCGGCTTGCCATCTCGACTCTTTTTGACACCCCACGCGAGGCCCCCCACGCGGCCGAAAACTATAATAAAAACTGGCCCGCCGTGACCTGTTTACGACGCGAGGGGGTCTGCAAGGCCGTCCACAGCGACACCACACTTGGCCCGGATCTTTCCCCGCCGCCGAAGCCTCCCTGAGGGCACTTGGAACTGGAACCAACTTACAAGCGGGTTCGGACAGATGCAACACACCTCAGCATCCACTTATAACCGAATTTCCCCTTAGCAGCGCCCGCGGTGATCCGAGTACCTCCTCAATAACGTGGCCAAGGACGTGCAAGGCGACGGCGAAACCGAAAACCGAGCGAATCGAAAGCGAACCCGAAACCGACCGAAACCGACAGGCCGCAAGCAGCCCAGCAGGGCGCAGCGACGCGGCAACGACAAAAAATGACCGACCGAACAGAACGACCTCGACACAGCCGAGCCAACCGAGCCGCCAATACCCCAGACTTGCGGTGTCTTTTTTTTTTCTTCATTTTTTCTTGTTTTTTTTTTTAATGCGGGGTCATAGGGAAACCCCGATCCCACGGGACTGGTTTTGCATCCTGGGTGGACTTTTCACGGTCCCGGGGCACCCGGAGGCCCCCAAAAACGGCCAAACACCTGCCACCCTGATGTCTGAGGGCGCGAGCACGTCTGGGATCCTTGGCCTGGGCTGGAAGTGCGGGCACGAGATGGGCCGACGGGGGGGCGCAGGAGAAAGAGAGGGAGGAGGAGAAGGAGGAGAAGGAGGAGGAGACGGAAGGAGAATGAGGATAGAGAAGGAGGAGGAGAAGGAGGAGGAGGAGAAGGAGAGGGAGAAGGATGAGGACGAGGAGGATGATGAGAGGGAGGAGGAAGGAGGAGGAGGAGGAGGAGGAGAGGAGGAGGAGAGGAGGAGGAGGAGAGGAGGAGGAGGAGGAGGGAGAGGAGAGAGGAGGAGGAGGAGAGATGAGGGGAGGAGGAGGAGGAGGAGGATGAGATGAGGGAGAGAAGATGGGAAGGATGAGGATGAGGATGAGGAGGGGGAGAAGGATGTGGAGGAGGAGGAGGAGGGAGGAGGAGGAGGAGAGGAGGAGCAGGATGAGGAGGAGGAAAAGGAGGAGCAGGAGGAGGAGGGGTAGGAGGAGGAGGAGGAGGAGGAGGAGGAGAAGGAGGAGGAGAAGGAGGAGCAGGAGGAGGAAGAAGGGAAGGAGGAGGAGGCGGAGGATGAGAGGAGAAGGGTGGAGGAGGAGGAGTAGGAGGAGGAGGAGAAGGAGGAGGAGAAGGAGGAGAAGGAGGAGGAGAAGGAGGAGGAGGAGGAGAAGGCAGGTGCGACATGCCGCGGCGGCGCCGAGCGAAGGGCAGCCGCTCCGTGGCGTTGGTGCGGACCCTGGTGGCATGGGCGGCGGGGGGCAGCTCGCGGAGGAGGTGGGCGGACTTGACGCACTTCCGGGCCGCGGCGACCACGTCCTGCGAGGCGGCCCCGGCTTCCGAGGCGCGCCGTGCTTTAGTGCTGCACGTTCGACCATGGACCCCCTGTTACCCGGTCCTCTGACGATCTTCTGGCGGTCTTCTGGCGGTCTTCTGACGGTCCTCGGTGTTCTCTGGCGGTCTTCGGACGGCTTTCGGCGGTCTCCGTCGGTCTTTCACGGTCTTTGGCGGTCTCGTCGGCGGTTTCTGGTGGTTTTCGGCGCGAAAGCTGGACGGCTGCAGCCAACAAGGGGTCCATGATCGAACGCCTAGGTTGGAAGACTGACCGGCTTCACGACGTGCGTCGGGGATGCGCCCAGTGCGAAAAGGCAGGGCGGGCGGGCCCGCCTCAGGAGCGCAGGCCGCGGACCTCTCCGCGAGAGCACGGCGGGAGCAGCGGCGGCAGAGTTAGAGGCCTCCTGGATGGGGTCGGAGGAGCGCGCCGCATCGCCGATACATCGACGATGCGACGGCGACGTCGACGTGAGGCAAATCGGGCTCCGCATCGAGCCGCATCGCCGATGCATCGCCGACGCGGCGCGATTCTGTGACCCCATCTACTCCGACCCCATCCTTTAGAGGCCTAGAACGAGTGGGGCGGAGCTCGACATGAGAGGAACTTGCAAAGTGGGCGGGAAACTTCGCCCTGCTGGCATCAGGTCGGGCATGTCCCCCTACAGGGGGACTTCGGAGAAGAAAATGAAATAGTTAAAGCATGTTCAAAACATATTCAAAATAGGAAAACAAATCGTCCCATACTTCTTTTTGGTGTGACTATGTTTGAACATTCCTCCTGTAGAGGGACAGGCCCAATTTTCATGTAGGAGGCCTGGAACGGAGTCGGGCGGAGCTCGACACGAGAGGAACTTTCAAAGTGTCGGCGGTGGACAAGCCTCCCTTTCGTAAACCTCCCCTTCGTGAAAACGGCCTGGGACCGAAACCGACGGGCCTGGACCCGCAACAATGACGGCCGCGACGCCCTCTCGCGAACCGAAAACGGCCAATTCCTTAATCGACGCGTCAGGGTAGGACCCAGCCCGCGGCGGTTCCGGAGTCCGGGGGGGAGGGCGCCCTGCCACCAGCGGCGGCCTCGGGCACCCGGCGGCCTCCCCCTCCTCGGGGCTTCCTGCCCCCTCTTCGCCGCACTCCTCCCCGACCTCCGACGCGCCGAGGACATCGAGGCGGACGTCTTCCTGTCCTGCTCTCTGCCTCGGGGGGGCCCTCGCCGGAGCCCCGGGACCGCCCACACAAGAGTGGCCCAGGACGGCAAACTGGCCTGGGGACGGGTCGGGACTTCGGGGGACGGCCTACGGGGCAAATCAGGACATCGGGTGCCTAGAGGCTCCTTCGTAACGCTGTACCAACTCAAGGACGGAGCCTAAAGCGTGAAGTCTAGGCTCCTCTTCCTCCTCTCCTCCTCCTCCTCCTCCTCCTTCGCCGCCTCCTCCTCCTCCTCCTCCTCCTCCTCCTCCTCCTCCTCCTTCCCCTCCTCCTCCTCCTCCTCCTCCTCCTCCTCCTCCTGGGCCGCTCGACTTCGCGCTTCGCGCCCCGCGATGCGCGGCGCGTGAGCATCTCCGCGCCACGGGGAGGAGGGCCGCCGCGCCGACCCCAGACCAGCGACGCGCGCGGGGCGCGAGGATCTGCCCGCCCCCTCGGGTGGCCCATGGGGTCCTTCGCCCCGCTCGCCCTCCCGCGCGGCCCCCCCCCGCTCCTCGCGCGCTCTGCTGCCGCAATCCTGCGCCCCGCACCTGCGCCTTCACCTCCTCCGCCTCAGCCAGCTCTCGGGAATGGACTCCCCACCTCGTCGTTGCTTTCCCCATTCCCCGTCGTTGCTTTCCCCATTTCCCCATTTCCTCTCCCCCCCTCCCTCCCTTCGTTGCTCTCCCCATCCCCCGCCCACGGGGGAGCAGATGTCCTGCGACCCCAGAGGGCCCCAGGGGGCAGTGGATATGGATATGGATACATGTGGGCCCCCCTTATCGACCCTCCTCCTCCTCGTCCTCCTCCACCTCCTCCTCCTCCTCCTCCTCGTCGGAGTAGGAGGGGGAAGACTAATCAGGCACGGGTGGCTTCCGCCTGGGCCGCGCAGACACGACAGACAACGTGCAACCGAGAGCTCCATCGGCGGCCGAAGCGCCCGCCGGCTCCTCCTCCTCCTCCTCCTCCTCCACCCTCCTCCTCCCTCCTCCTCCTCCTCCTCTCCTCCTCCTCCTCCTCCTCCTCCTTCCTCCTCCTCCTCCTCCTCCTCCTCCTCCTCCTCCTCCTCCTACTCCTCCTCCTCTCCTCCTCCTCCTCCTCCCTCCTCCTCCTCCTCCCCCGCGGAGGAGCAGGAGGAGGAGGAGGACCATGGTCAGTCCGCCGGCCGCGCAGAGACGACGGACAGCGGCCGATGGGCCCGGACTGACGGCGGTGCCGCGCCCACGTCGCCCGGCCGACGGGGCGCCCCGCAGGCCAACAACAAGGCCGCTTGGCGGCGGCGGCGGCCGGCGGGCGCTGGTCCTGGATGGCCTCCAGGAGCACCGCGCGAGGCTGTCCGGCCGGGCCCCGCCGATGTTGGGGCCCCCACTCGGCGGCGACGCTCGGGCTGTGCTGCCTTTTTCTTCTCGGATATGGCCCGCGCGGGGGTGCTCCGGGGACAGGGAGGTCACGAGCGCGCGCGGGCCTACATTCGCGGGCGCCCGCGTGGTGTGCAAGGGTGAGGGCGGGCAAACACGGGGGGGTGGGGCCCCTCGGGCCCCAAGGATCTGGCCCAAATCGGCGCGATCCCCAGGAACGCCGACCACAGGACCCTATGTACTATGTGGTTCTCAGCGACTGATATTTCGGCCAGCGCCCCAGTGGATGCTAGGGTGGTTTACATGTACATTGCCCAACATAGTCGATGGGTGGGTGGGAAGTGCCCCAAGTGGCTCAAAATTTTGACATAGTGGGCTGCGCCCACTTCGCGGAGTATCGAACCAACCCAGGCCACTACAGGCACGTGGAACCAACTGAAAAATAGGCGTGTGCCAAATAGGAGACCACCTCCAATTGTAACCTCCTTGTCGCCCTGACAACCGCCGCGGGGATCAAAAAACTTTGCCCACGAGCGGAGAGCGTGTCCATGTCCACGCCATGGATTATGGGCGCGATCCCGTGGATGCGCGGTCGCATGGACACGTTCCGCGCAAAGCGTGCGCGGAAGAATACCCCGTGTCCACGGGGTCGCGGCCCAGGTGCCCAGCCAGCGAGGCTGTGGATACGGATCAGTTTCCCACTGCAGCTTGCCAAGGGGATGGGGGGGGGCGGGGGAGCGAGTGGATGCCGAGGTGGTGGGCTGCGAATGCCCTGGGTGGCTCGGGGTATGCCGCCCTGTGCCACTCAGGGCTTTTGAAGCCTTCTTATAGGCGAAGTAAAAGGCCAGGCGTGACCCACCTTGTCAGCATGCACTGCGGGATTCGGCCTGACCTAAGTAAGCAACGATGAATAAGGAACGAAGCCCCTTTTTTCCACGTGAATCTAGGAAGTCCGAAGGAACACCAGGGGGGCTCGCCGCCAAAAGGGTAGCGGAACGCATGCAAACCAAAAGGACGACCGAGCCCCTTTTGAAAAGTAAGTGTTCCTTATTCAAGCCGGATCCTGTAATCACTCATGTGTGCCCGCCATCCCCTCAGCATAATCCGCGTCGATACATGTACCGCTTCCATCGTCCCGAGCTCCCCAGAGACCTCTGTCGGCATCTTTGCTCCACAGCCTGGACCTCTGGAGTCCCGACGTGGGCCCCCCGCGGACATCCACCAAACAGCCCGCGGCGAAGCAAGAGCTGCCCAGGGAACGGGGCGAGAGCTCCATAGGCAGAAGAAGAGAATCACACCAGGGAAAAACCACAATCAATGAATGGTTTTCGCTGAGGAGATCGACCGGGAACCCGGGAACCCGGGATTAACCCACCGAGATCGACCCAGAACCAATAACCGGGAACCCGGAACCGGGTACCCGTGAACCCAGCCTAGGCTGGGTTCCCGGGCTTGGGTAGCAGATGCTACCACAATCGGCGGGAAACGTTCGCCAAATCTTTCAACTTCCGCCATAGGACCCCTGGAGTGCGAGCACTGATTGGGGAATCTGCGCAATCGTGCGCCGTTGGACCGCGCAGTTTTCTTGGATCGACGCTTTGACCCCCCTCCCTGGCGCGCTGGCGCGCGAAGCCCGCCAGGGGCGGCGCCCCGAGGGGACGCCAGGTGTGTCCAGAGCCGACCTAAGGGATCCGCGCGGATCTCCGACAGTTCGTGTTTCCGAAAGCTTATGCTTATGCGCTGATTGCCCTTCTTCGATCGTCTTAAGCTGATGAGTATCCCTTGTCTCATGTTAGTCTTCATGTTTCCGAGAGTCAGAGTTCATTTAGCCGAACGCTTATGCTTATGTTTTCCTCTTGTCCGAGTCTGGCTCAACCCCTGCCGATTGTCCCCGGACCTCGCCCGTGTGGCCCGACCTCCAGAAGCCTACATTGCTGCCGCCCTAACTTCCTCCAACTAGCTCCAGAAAATAATTCCCACGGGAATGCCAATCGGTCGGAAGAAGTACGTAAAAACATGAAGCAGGAAGGCGTTGGAAGTAGATTGGGTTCCGCCCGCCACCTAAGGAGAACGGACAAGGCGAAGCCACTCGTTCATTGAAGTAAGAAGGCGCTGAAAGTAGATTGGAACCTGGGAAGTTCCCCACAAAACTACTACACATGAGAAAACCCCAATCAGAGGATGATTTGGAAACTGATACTATGGATCTTGAGATCGATTGTGAGGTGACACGGAACGTGTGAGCGGTGTGCCGCAGTGGGTGTGCGTGACGCATGCGGGCTGCGCCACTGGGGCGGTCGGTGGAGCTCCCTACGGGGCCATGAAACGTGTGATGGGGTGTGCCGCAATGGGTGTGCGTGACGTGTGCGGGCTGCGCCGCTGGGGCGGTCGGTGGAGCTCCCGACGGGGCGACGAAACGTGTGAGGGGTGTGCCGCAATGGGTGTGCGTGACGCATGCAGGCTGCGCCAGTAGGACCTTCGGTGGAGCCCCCTACAGGGCTACGAAACGTGTGAGGGGTGTGCCGAAATGCGTGTGCGTGACGCATGCGGGTTGCGCCCCTGGGACCTTCGGCGGAGCTCCCTATTGGGCCATGAAGCGTGTGAGGGGTGTGCCGCAATGGGTGTGCGTGACGCATGCGGGCTGCGCCACTGGGGCCTTCGGTGGAGCTCCCTATGGGGATGATCGTGAGGGGTGCACCGACGATGATGATGAGGATGATGATGATGCTGACGGTAATGAGGATGGCGGCGATAAAGACGATGATGACGACGATGACGGTGACGGTGACGGTGACGGTGACGGTGACGGTGACGATGACGACGTCGATGACGATGACGATGACGATGACGACGACGATGACGATGACGATGACGATGACGATGACGATGACGATGACGATGATGATGATGATGATGATGATGATGATGATGATGATGATGATGATGATGATGATGATAATACGATTATTAATACTATTATTAGTATTATTACTACTATTATTAGTATTATTACTACTATTATTATTATTGTTAGTAGTATTTTTAATATTATTATTATTATTACGAGATCGATTATGATGATGAGGATAATGATGGGGATGATGCTGATGGTGCGAAGAGGAGGTAGGGGGAGGAGGAGAGGAGTGACGCGGGGCGCTGTCTCTTCAAAACGAGGACCCAACACCACAAGATGCTTGGGAACAAACACACACAAACATAAACTTTTGGCACTCCGCACGGATTTCTTGGATCTGCGCTGACCACCCTTCCCTGGCGCGCGGAGCGCGCCAGCGGCGGCGCCGGAGGCCCTGCCAGGGGGGCCCAGCGCGGATCCAAGAAATCCGCGCAGAGCGCCAAACATCTATGTTTATGTGGTCTTTTTCTTCTTCGAAAGACACCGATACCGCTGCTCCCTGGACACCCGGGGCGCGTGTTCTGACCAGCACTCCGAGGGCGCCTCCGGCGACGGCGGCGGCCTCCCATAGGAGGCCCGAGCGGGGCGAGCACGAAGCCAGGGCAGCGGGTTCGGGAACATTTCCTCCCCTCCGGTTATGTTGCCCCCATCGTACTGAAGGACCACATCCCAAAAATAAGCTCGGGCCCCTAGAAAAGTGTCGAAACTGTGTCGAACAAGTATCGCTATCTAGAGCCCGACAGGTGAAAACACTCCAAGTGCGGGACTTTCCTGGTGCTCGAGAATATTTCTCTGGTGAACATGGCTAACGTACGTTGGAACATCATAACTCTGAGGCTCCCTCGGCCTCCACCTTCCGCACCTGCTGGACGGCACTTGCTGCGCAGCGGCGGCCGCCAGAGCGGCAACGGTCGAGGCCGCCGTCGAGGCCGCAGCGGCGGTCTGCGCGGCCACGCCGCGGCGGCAACTGCTGCGCGGAAGGTTCAGAAGGTGGAGGTTAAGGGTTCACCGTCGAGGGCGTGTTCTTATTCGGCGCTGCGACATTGGGCGGAAAGGGAGGGGAGGAGGGGGTTCTGGCTCCGAACCTCTGCTGAATACGACTGTTTGCAGCAGTGCGTCCTAGGGGGGAGACTCGAGAAACAATGAATCCCCGGTACAATGGTTCATTTTCCAGGAAACGGATTCAATCCCGGAACGCTTTTTCAGTTAATGCATATATATATATATGTGTATATATACATATATCTATATATGTGCAAAATCAGAATATCCTTCCTCTGCGCCTGAAAAATATTCTGGGGGGCCTGCCCGAGCCCTTCTTGGGCGTCCTGGGGGTCCTCTTGGCAGTGATGGAAGCGCCCTTGGCCCTGTTGGAGGCCCTCTTGGCTCTGTTGGATGCCCTCTTGGCCCTGTTGGAGGCCCTCGTGGCCCTGTTGGAGGCCCTCTCGGCCCTGTTGGAAACTTCCTGGGGGTCCTGAAGGCCCTCTGTGGCGTCCTTGAGGCCCCCTTGGCCGTCCTGGAGGCCCTCTTGGGCGTCCTGGAAGCCCTTCTTGGGCGTCCTGGAGGCCCTCTTCGGCCTGTTGGAAGCTTTCTTGGGCGTCCTGGATGCCTTTTTGAGCGTCCTGGAGGCCCTCTTGGGCGTCCTGGCGGCCCTCTTGGGCGTCCTGGAAGTCCTCTTGGGCCTGTTGGAAGCATCCTCGGGCGTCCTGGATGCGTTTTTGAGCGTCCTGGAGGCCCTCTTGGGCGTCCTGGAGGCCCTTCACGAACGTCCTGGAGGCCCTTCTTGGGCGTCCTGGAGGCCCTCTTAGGCCTGTTGGCAGCTTTCTTGGGCGTCCTGGAGGCCTTCTTGGGCCTCCTGGAGGCCGTCTTGGGCGTCCTGGAAGCCGTCTTGGGCGTGTTGATAAGCATAGCGATGACTTGCAATTCGCTGGTTAGCACAGCTACCAGCACAAGTACCAATACACCTCCCCATAAAGCTACCGCTCCAAGCACAGCTACCGCCACAGATAACAATGCAGCTCCGAGTAAAGCTACCACCACAGCTCCCAGTAAAGCTACAACGACAGCTACCGGTACTGTTACAGCTACAACGTCTGCTAACTTCACAGCAACCACAACAGCTACCAATACAGCTCCCAGTGCTGCTACCAGCACAAGTACCCGTACGGCCACCACTTCAGGTGACACTACAGCTCCCAATAAACCTCGTAGTAAATCTACCATGGCAAGTACCGCTTGTTACCACTACAAGTGCCAGTGCAAGTACCACTACAATTACCACGACAAGTACCAATTCGGCTACCATGAAAACGACCAGTACAGGTACCAGTTCAGCGACCGGTACAAATACCACGACAGATACCAGCCAGTTCATGTACCACTACAGCTACCTCTACATCTACCACTACAGCTTCCAATGCAACTACCAATATAGCTACCACTGCAGCTACCACTACGGATGCCACTGCATCTACCAATGCAGCTACTGCCCCAGCTCACACTGCAGTTCCTACTACAGCATCCACTACAACGGCCGATCCCGCAAAAGAAGCGAACAGTGTAAAGATGAGTAACGTCTTTGTTGCTGTACCACTACCTCTCCTAGGCAAACCAGAACGGTTCAACCCCCGGATGAAATTGCGCAGGAAACTCATGCGCCGCCATTGAGGTGACTTCTGGATTTCTGGATGTAAGATGAGCCACGGCTATATGCAGCTATATACCAGCTGCTGAAAGATGTGAGGCGTCGGCCACCCAGAAGAGTTCAATCCCTGGACGATTTCTGGGGATTGAGCCGCTCAGCCGGGGATTGAACCGTTCCTCCGGGGATTAAACCCATCGCGGGAGACTCCACCTGTTCGAAAGATGCGCCAAAAACAGCCAAGATCTTACTCCAGGGGGGGGAGGAATCGGGGGGTGCGAGGGCCGCGCCGATCGGCAAAACAATGCATAAAAAACGATCACGCCCCTCATCCATTGTTTGGTGGTCCCGCGGCCCGATCGCAGGCCCCAAGTGCCGACACCCATCGAACTCCGCTCGGGGTGCCCCCCCGAGACTGTCTCCCAGAATCCTAAAACACGGTGCTCAGTCCTGGATCAAATCTTTGATGGCCCTGGGACCCGATCACGGGCCCCGTGGGCCGAAACCAACGAGCCGCCTCTCGGGATTCCCCCCGAGACTTCGGTGCCCTCGCCAGGCCTCGGGATCGTCAAAAAACGACTCAGGATGATTCGCCGGTCCTGGGGAAGGGTCCAGACTTCGGGGGACGTCGTCCTGAAAAAATCTAAGCGTCGCATGTCTGGGCTTCGATGAGGAACCCAGGGTCTGGAAGCCGGTGGAACGCCAATAGAGGTGTGGCCATGGGTTTCATCGCATCCTTCATCAGATAGGGAAGCCTCCAGGATCTGAAGCCTTCTGGGCACGCTCCTTGACGAACGACCACCGTAGATCGGCGATGGGCCCCCGATAGCGGAATCGCGCGCTCCTGGGCGGAGTGGGCCAGAATGGGCCCCTGCCGGCGAGGAGTGGGCGACTGGGGCTCGATGCGTCGCTTCCTGAGCCTATGCACTCTGACGTTGCCCTCCTTTCTTTGGGGTCATACGTCGGCTCTCCGGCGGCCGTTCGGGACGAGCCGGGCACCTCCAGAACGCTCGCGGCGAGGCACAGCTGTGGAAAGCCTCCCTGGGCTGGAAGACCGCGCGGCACCGACGCAACCGCCCTAAAACATGCTGGTTCCGGTGACGACGGCCCTGTCCACGCTGGACGGTTTCCCCCGGGGCCGTAGGCAACCCGAGGAGCGAGGGGCAGGAGGGGGAGGAGGAGGCGGAGGAAGAGGGGGAGGAGGAGGAGGCGGAGGAGGAGGAGGGGGAGGAGGAGGAGGAGGAGGAGGAGGAGGAGGAGGAGGAGGAGGAGGAGGAGGAGGAGGAGGAGGAGGAGGGAGGAGGAGGAGGAGGAGGACGGGTCGCCCAGGCCCTTCGGAGAAACCCTCCAGCCCACGCACCTGGGCCCGTGGCTGGGGATCTGCGTCTGTGCGGTGGCGGCTGGCGGCAGCCCAGCGGGCATACCGGAGCCAGCCCCGCCGCGCGGTCTTGGTAGGTGGCCCTGGCGCGGCCGAGCGCGGCGCGGGAGGGCATGCCGGTGCTACAGCCATCGGCCTGACCTGAGGATCGATGGATGAGGAACGGAGCTCCTTCTTCCCAACGTCTCCTCCTCCTCCTCCTCCTCCTCCTCCTCCTCCTCCTTATCTCCGCCTCCTCCTCCTCCTCCTTCTTCTCCTCCTCCCCCCCCTCCTGGTCGTCGTCGATGTCTTTCAGGGTCGGCGGCACCGGCCGTCAGGCCTTCACAGTAAGAACGAAGCCCTTTTCTTTCGAAGGAATAACCCCGATAGGTCTTTAGAAATCCCCTGGCCAGTAGATGGAAAATATCTATCTTTCGGGCGAATGTATTGACAACTCGGAAATACGACCCCACCCGACAATAGCGGAAAATAATTATAGTTCGGGCGGTCCGACGACGAAGACGAAGACGAAGACGATAACGAGTACGTGTGCGATTCCGACTACGACGGCGATACGACGACGAAGACGAAGGCGCATGTGCGCGGCGCAAACTTTTAAGACGAATGTGCGCGGCGCTAAGGCGAGATCTGCACTTTGAACAACACGAGCCCTCCATCCTTGAAACTGTTGCAAGCTTTTAAGACGAATGTGCGCGGCGCTAAGGCGAGAGCTGCACTTTGAGGAGGAGGAGGGGTTTCGGGAGCGGACGAGTTTCGGGACGAGTTCATTCACCGCGGAGAGCTCCAGGGGGGGGGGACCCAAACTAAAGACGTATAGAGGTTACCGCACAAGGAGCGATATATATATATATATATATATATATATATATATATATATATATATATATATACTAGAACCACGCGCGCGCTTCGCGCGCGCTTAGGTTCTAGCTAGGATCATTATCGCTGGGAGTTTGACGTAGCTTCTCGGGAGCCTCTGAACCTGTCGGGGGCCTCCTGGAAGCAGGTTCGAAGCATTTTGGGGGCCGATTTGGGGCTTCTCGGGGCCTCCTTTGGGCCTCTTGGGGGTCTCCTGGGGCCTCTTGAGGGGCCTCCTTGGGGCCTCCTGGCGGCCTCTTGGGGCGGAAGGCTCGAGCGTGCGGTTCGTGGTCCCCCTCTGGGCCCCCTCTTGGGTCCGTCTTGGGGCCCTCTTGGGCCATCTTGGGCGCCTCTTGGGCCGTCTTGGGGCCCTCTTGGGCTGTCCTTGGGCCCTCTTGGAAGCTTCTTGGGCCGTCTTGGGGCGGTCTTGGGCGCCTCGTGGGCCGTCCTGTAACGTCGGAAAGCCCAAAAAGCAACTTTGTGAAAAATGTACGTTTTACGAAGGGAATGGGCCAATGTTTGCGTCTAGGGGCCCTCTTGGGACGCATGTTGGAGGCTTCTTGGGGCGTCTTGGGGGCGTCCTTGGACGTCTGGAGGCCATCTTCAGCATCTTGGAGCCCTCTTGGAGGCCTCTTGGAAGTTTCTTGGGCCGTCTTGGGCGCTTCTTGGGCCGTCTTGTCTGACTGGGGAGGCCTCCGGCAAGCCCCGACGAGCCTCCGGGCCCCCCGGGGCTCACATTTGTGGTCGGGGTCCCGGCCCCGGGCCCCCGGACCCGGTGCGCCGTTATATATATATATATATATATATATATATATATATATATACATAGAGAATAAACAACGCGTAAGGAGCGATAAGCAACGCATGCGAACCTGAAAGAACGACCGAGCCCCTTTTGAAAAGCAAGAGTTCCTTATACAAGCCGCTCGCTGTAGTTGCAGCTCCGAACGGGGCTGCCGAGGGGACGGAGGGGTCACAGGTGAATGCTACGGTCGAGGACTTTTGCTTAGCGTGTCGCGGCGGCGGCCCCGACCCGGGACTGAGACGTGGTGAGCATGTCGCGCCGAGCTGTGGTGGGCAAGAGCGAGCGGAGCGACACGCTGAGCAAGTTCCCGACCACGAGGTGGATCACATCCGGCGCAGCTGAAGGCTAGAGCTGGTGCCCCAAGTGGCTCTTGAGGAGGCAGAGATCTGGGCTAGAAGGATTCCGCCCACTTCGTGGCGGCATCTGGCCCCTCTAGCCACGCCGAGCACGTGCAACCCACTTATAACTTAGGTTGGGCCAGACACAGCACACCGGAGCATCCACCCGCCACCCCCTACTCTTAGCAGCCCCCGCGGCGATCCGAGTACACATCCGCATGCGGAGGGAGCTGGACCGATATCGCCTCGGGCCGCCAACGAAGCGCCCCGAATCGAATCGAGACCTCGTCGCCGCGCCATGCTCCGGCCCGCCCAAACCGACGCCAGTGACTCGGCTCGAACCGAATCGAAGCGGAATTGCGGCACCAACTGGCGAGCCGAGTGGGATCGTGGGCGGCCCGGCCAAGCCTCAAGCTGCCACAGGAGATCCCTCCCGCCGGCTTTTTTTGCCTCCCCAGGAAGCACATCTTTTGGATCGAGAGAGAAGGAGATAAAAAGAGAGAGAGAGAGAGAGGGAGCGAGAGAGAGAGAGAGAGAGAGGGAGAGGAGGCGAACGGGGAAGGCGCGACGACCACAACCTGCAGATCTCCACGTCGTCACGCTGTCCCCCCGCGGGCTTCAGGAATGGGGCACGGAGCGACACGAACCAGCCACCCCCAAGTGCGTGCCGGCGCCACGGGCGAGGAGGAGCAGAGGGGGGAGCGGCATTCCTGCAGCCGGCCTCTGATGTGCTGTAGGGGCCCGGGGGCCCCCGCCTCGACTCCGGGGCCCCCGCCTCGGGCCAAGGGGGCGGTGGAGCCTGGCTCGGCACGAGGAGCTGGCGGAGCGCGCCAGGGGCGGCGCTGGAGGCGCCCCGCCAGAGGGGGCCCCGCGCCGATGCAAGAAGCCCGCACGGACCTTCGGAGGCCGCTGGTTGCGCCGATTCCTCGCCTTCGACTGCAAGGATGCGGCCCGTCCTGCAGGGGGGGAACATCAATCGGGGGGGACCGGCTCACAGGGGAAACATCGAGCTGGAATCGGTGATGCATCGCCGATATACCAGCGATGGGCCGCCGGTAGCGAAACCGCACGGTCATGAGCGGGGTGGGCTATCGGGCACCTATCGGTGAGCAATGGGGCAATGGGCGATTGGGGGGCGCTCGGCGATCCGGGGACGCCATTGGGCCCGCACCAGAGGTCACTCCGGCGAAAGGTCACTCTCACGTGCAGTCAGCTCCTGCGGGGCGCGGACCCCCAAAACGCGGTGGCTTACGCGGGCGGCCAGCGCAGCTCGGTACCTATCGATTAACCGATCCCCATCCCCAGCGGCGTGGCCTGGTCCCAACTGGCCGATTTACCCCCCTAGATGGGGATATAGGTCGTCCCCTGCGGGTTTCGAGGGGTGTATCCCCAACTGGGGTGGTAATGTGGTGAGGGTCTCGAAGGGGATGGGGATGGGGATGGGGAGTGGTCAAACGATACCGAGTACCGTGGAAACGAGGGCGCTCACGCGCCATCGTACGCGGGCAGCTTGCGCCCGAGTGCCAGCGCCCTCGGACCTGCTTTCCCGCGTCGCTCAGGCGGGCAGGGACATGCTCTGGCTCGCGGCCCGAACGGGTTCACGTCCCCCGCCTGCCGAGGCCCAGGAAGAGCGGTTCCCCCGGCGATGCGGATGGGAACGACTCCCGGGCTCAGGTCGGGCCCGTCCCCCCACAGGGGGATCTTTTGAACATCCCCCCGGTAGAGGGACAGGCCCGACTCATTCCTAGGCTCGGACCTCCCCCCGAGACCGGTCTCTGTCCAATCCCGCGCTGGCGTGCCGGGTCCTCTGGAGAACAACCCATGCCTGGGTCGGGCCTGTCCCCCTGCAGGGGGATGGACGAAAAACAAAAAATAGCCAAACATTTTCAACAGATGCCCCAAAATACTCAAAACACCGTCCCCCGGCTATTGTCTGACTATTTTTGAATATCCCTCCTCTCGAAGGACAGGCCCGGCAAAATCCGAGGCTAGGACCTCCCCCGAGACCGGTCTCTGTCCAATCCCGCGCTGGCGTGCCGGGCCCTCTGGAGAACAACCCGGGCAGACGAAGCAGGCGCTGCTGCGATTTCTGCCCGTGGCGCCCGAGACCAGAAGGTTTAGGTCGGGCATGTCCCCCTACAGGCGGATGGTGGACGAGAGTTTTAACAGATTGTCAAAAAACGCCAAACATGTTCAGAAATACTCCAAAAAACGTACCCCGACTATTATTTTAAACTATGTTTGAATCTTCCTCCTGTAGAGGGACAGGCCCGACTTAAGAGAAGGTCTGTCAAGGCTGCCCTCGCAGCCCTCGCCTCTTCGGCCTCCGCGCGGGGATCTTCGGAAGAACGAATTCGAATCGGATCGGACCGGCCCGCCTCGACCGGATCGAAATGGCTCCTGTCGCGTGCATCGGTCGGGTCGGATCGCTCGGATCGAGCTTCGGCGGCGTGCGAGCGGGGAAGTGAGAAGGAGAAGGCCTTCTCAGAAGGCGGCGGGACTTCTGAGAAGCCCTCGCGCCTTCTGAAAGGTCTTGTTGTATCTTCTGGGAAGGCTTACAAAACTTCTCAGAAGGCCGGGGGACTTCCCAGAAGGGTTCGCCGCCGCGTCGACGCGGCGTCAGGCTGTCGTACTTTACCCAGGATCTGGTGTGCTGAGAAAGCCATCGAACATCCCAGCGCAGAGGTTCGGTGGCGTGGCAGATGCCAGACGTGTCGGAGAAGAGAAGGAGTAACAGGATGTGGGCAGGAAAAGCTTTTCCCTGCCATCAAACGTTGCGAAACACACGACGTCGGAGGTCTGGGTCCCGGTCCTTTAATCGGCGGTGGACAAGCCTCCCTTTAGTAAACCTCCCTGTAGTGAAAACGGCCTTGGGCCGAAACCGACGGACCTGGACCCGCAAAAATGACGGCCGCGACGCCCTCTCGAGAACCGAAAAGGGCCAACTCGCTAATCGACGCGTCGGCGTAGGAGCATCGGGAATCAAACCTCCGACGCCGCATGCTTCACAACGTGGGCCCCCACGGGTCTGACTGCGCCGTGTTGCACGGTCCGGGGAGCCAGCAGGCCCCCCCCCGCCCAG